ATCTTCCAAAATGTGGTTTAAAAAAATGTGGGCTAGGCTGGGTGTGGTGGTGAATGCTTATAATTCCAGCACTCAGGAGGCTGAGGCAGGAGGATCATCATGAGTTTGAGGCCAGCCTGACCTACACAGCAAGACCCTGACTCAAAATAAAAGGAAAAAATGTGGTATATTCTCTGTACTAACAATCATTAACGTATAGTGCTGTTTTTCAAAAGCCAAAATACACATGTTGAGAATGAAGATAGAAAGGGAGTATTTGTCATGATTTGATGCTTGGAGACTTATGGATAGAATTGTGTTGAAGTCCTAACTCCTTCAGTATCCACTATGAATGTAAACTTATTCCAAAGTAGAGCTTTGGCAAATGATCAAGTTATGATGAGGCCATTAAGAGAGGCCCTAATCTAATATAAGTAGTGTACTTAACAAAAGGGTAATTTGGACACACAAACCAATATGTACAGGGGAAGGACAATACAAAAACATAAGGGTTATGTCAAAAACATTTGAGTTTACTAGACTCTAGGAAAAAGACATAAAAGATTCTCCTTCATAACCTCTCAGAAGCAATCAACCCTGCTTACAGCTGACCTAGAACTTCTAGTCTTTAGAATTACAAGACCAAAATTTTCCACTATTTAAGCCATCTAGTTTATAGTACTTTATTATGGCAGTCCTAGACAACTAATAAACAACCTGTTCTTAAATTTTTGCACTCCTTCCTCATAGCTGGATTCTATTCATCTAGAAATTTGGAAACCTAAAAGAAAATTTTGCATTATAAAAACTAATTATATTTTCCACTGAATTAGAAACTAAGACTGTTATGTAGCCATTTGAACTTCTTTACCACTCTAAAAAAAGATGACAATAATCAAGCCAAAAGAGTGTTGTTACTACATTTAAAACAGGGTTAGAAGTAGTAGAACCTCTCTAGGATGACTAGTGTACACAACAGAGATTGTAAAAGAAGAAATGGATGCATCATGTTATAAGTACGAATAAGGACTCAGATTCTTCTTGAATAATAGTGTGTTTCATTTCATTAGGAGAAATAAATATTAGGAGCTTTCTCAGGACAAGAGATAGAAAGTGGGTAGTAATGGAGTTACTACCAAGGTCTACCTTGTACCCAAGAGCAAAATAAGCAAGCCCTAAAGTCATTATCTATATTCCCTTGTTTTTCATTTTGTTGGAATGAGGAGCATACAGGATGTTAGTACATTACAATGTATAATTTCATTCAAAAAGTGTAGCACAGAACTAGTGGAAGCAGGGACATCAGCAGATGATACTACATTAGGAAATCGTAGCCTCATGTCTTCGCCACTGAATTTGGTGACTGGAACCTATTAAGAAGGGAGTTCTTTCTACTATACACTAGTTATTACATTATATTAGACAAATAATTTCAAATGGTGTGTCTTGGTTACTTTTTCATTCCTGAGACAAAATACCCAATATCCAAAGCTAAAAGAGGAAAAGTTTATTTGGTTCACAGTTTGTAGAGGTTTCAGTTCATAGCTGGCTGGTTCCAAGGCAGGGTGGCATGGCAAAGGGGCATCACAGAGGAGAAACAGTTCATTCTGGGGCAGAAGGCAGCAAGCAACAAGTGACCAGCAGCGACCCTCTTTTTGTCCCTTATATCTTATCCAGGCTATCCCCCTTAGAGGGGGTAGCACTCACATCCAGGGTAGGGAAGCCTTCATTTTAGCATTACACCACGAATCAATCCCAGCCTGACATCTTCGATCCCAGCATCACACACCCTAGATCCAGCCACCTATGATCACATGAGATCCAGATACATCCAGACACAAGCCATAATATGGTGCCTATGGAAATAAGGGCATATGTGTGAGTGTGTTATATAGTCAAATTAGAACATGTAGACTTCTCTTGTATCTGTTTTCATTCTAGTATCACTCTTTTGTAGGAGCTGCCCTTCTGGTGTTTCCTGTGATTATAGTGAGTTGCCAATCACAGGACTCCAGAGCCAAACTAAGCCAAAATAACAGGCTCTCCTAGGAGTTTGAATCATGAGCAGAGACACACAGGACTAGGAAGCAAGAAGAATTAAGATATGTGACAATATCTCCTAAAGTACTATCACATGAGTTAATATTATAGAGATCACCTAAATGCTTCCCTAGGCCTGGTTGTTCATCATGTCACTCAGTAGCTTTCCAATAAATCCACTTAATTTTTCTTTCTTTTCTTCCTTCAGTCTTCTCTCCCTCCATCCTTTCCTTCCCTCTTTTAGTTGGTTATTGTTGTTATGTATTACACTGATATGTGTAATATTAGGCTTCACATAATATTTTGAAGGTTCACATTACTTAAATAGATCACTTAAACTACACAAAGAACATTACATTTGGGGATAGAAACTGTCTATTATGAAGAGCATTGCTGTGTTCCCTTAGCACTGAGTTAATGGTTAGAGAATTCGGTATAGAGCAGTGGTGGTGAACCTACGGCATGCTAGTGGTATCACTGAAAGCTCTAAAAGGTTCACCATAGTTGGTGTAGGGTTTTTTATTGCTGTACTAGAAAATGTCTCTAGGGCCGGGGATTTAGCTCAGTGGTTTCGCCGCCTGCTGCGCAAGCGCGAGAACCGGAGTTCGATCCACGGTACCGAAAAAAAAAAAAAAAGAAAATGTCTCTAACTTTTCCAGCACAATCCCCAATTGTAACTTAACCTTGATAAAATCTCTCCATCAGTGCAAAATTTTGTGCTTTGAAGTCAAAGAAATTTCAAGAAAAGATGAGACTACATATTGAAACAAATAGCTAGAGAAAGAAAGAAGTGGGCTGGGGATTTAGCTCAGTGGTTCCACCACCTGCCTCGCAAGCACAAAGACCTGAGTTCGATCCCTGGTACCAAAAAAAAAAAAAAAAAGAAGAAGAAGAAAGAAAGAAGAAAGTACAAACAGAGAAAGAAAATATGGATTAGTAATGTTCAGGATAGGCTGTGCTCATCCAAAAGTGGCAGTCTGGCTGAGGCCAAACTGGCCTAGCTAAAGGGACATCTTTTTTCCCATTTTCCTTCACTACAAATTCTTAGTGGGAAATGATTAAAATATGTATAAAGTGTATATTTTAAATATACAGATTTTTTCTCTCACATATAAATATATCTCATTATACACACACATATATACAATATCTAAAAATTTATTTAACATCTTGGAATAATTGCTTTTTGGTTAAAGTGAAAAAATTGAACTACATAGTTTCTAACAAATCAAAAAGAAACCTGTGAGATGCAAACATTTTTTTAAGTAGCAATTACATTCTATGAACTCTACAATGGATTATAAATAAAGTATTTAGAATTTTATTTTATCTTAAATCTAAAATGTTACAGAGCTAGGTGGCCAAGGATAGAGCTCAGAAGTAGAGTACTTGCCTAGCATAGGTGAGGCCTTGGGTTCAATCCCCAGCACAAAAAAGAAAGAAAAAGAGAAAGAAAAAAAGAAGGCAAAGAAGAGGGGATGAAGGAAGGAAAGAAAGTAAGAAGGAAAGAAGGGGGGGACTCAGAGTAAAAAGTCCCATCTGTATCCGCTGTATCCATGTTTCTTCATCAGTATATCAAGCATTTTTAATCCAATTAAGCAACCAAAAAATTTTAAATGCCTATTATAGGGCCAACTATGCCAGACTTGTAGAATTATTTTATTTACTCCTATCTGTGCCTATACACAATAAATGTAATCCTCTGCATACTATATATGTATATAACACACATAACACAAAACATACATTTTTATCTCTTCCTTGATTTCACTCAAAATGTAATGATCCCTACTAAAAGGACCTAGCAAATTCTTTTGATGACAAGCAGTAAATGTGTAAGCTGATTTTGCCTCTTTCTCTTTTCCAAAACACTAGTTACCAGAATTATTTGATTGTCCAGATGGGCCACATAGACAAGTTAGTACATGTAATCATATAGGTATAGGATCAATTATAGGGGTTTGATTGTTTTCCAACTCAAAGTCTTTAGTACCAGACCAACAAATAACATTTAGCCCTTAAATTAGAAGTTTAAAATATCTCATTCATCCCGATGATCACTAATTAATAAGACTAGTGGAATTTTCATAAAGTCTCACTTAATTATCAGCTTTGAAAATTTTACTTTGGAACTCTTGGCAGCCTAAACATTATTTGTAATTCAGGGTTATTGCTTCCAAGTCAATTCCTGAGAATAAAACAGAGCATGAGAAAGCATTTTTAACCATGAACAGTCTTATACTTTAGAAAACAAATTAACAACTAAAGTGTCCTGAAAGCCTTGACATTCTTTATATATTTTTTAGAAAAAACTCACTGTGCTTTCTTGAATCTGGATACGGAAACACAAAGAACTGGAAATACAAAGATAAAGTGTGAAGAATTCATGCTACCAACTCAGTTCAGTGGCACACAGTGTCAAAAATCCTCAGTACAAAATGACCTGAGAAATATATTTAAATCTGTTTTATTTCACTGCTATGCAAAACCTCGATCATCCTAAAACAGTTCATTTGTTAAAGTGAGACAGGCAAAGCAAGTTCAAAGTCCAGATATTGCAAAAGGGAGGTTAGCTGTGGGAGGGGGCGCAGGCTCTTTTACAAAGGGAGGAGATAGTGGGTTGACTTTGCTTCCCACTAGAACATGCTCATCCTTGTCCTCCGATGGGGAACTTCAACTTTAGAGGGGAAGTGGGTAGGTGGGGTAGGTGTTCGAATTCCTTCATTGATACTTAATGTCAGGTTCTTGCATCAGTCCTGTAAGCAACACAGGAACGGCACAGCAGGGCAGATATTGATCCTGCCCACCATTACACTGCTTGGTAGATCCACCGCTGCTTTCATTGGCTGGTGGCAGTCGGGACTTACGGGAAACTTTCTAGGAGGCTGCAGCCCTAGAAAACAAAATCGTGCCAACCACAGCACGTAGCTCTGTTGGCAGCGCTGGGGAAGGGAGAAGACAAGACGCCAGAGAGTACTCACAGTTCGCCTCGGAGACGGGAAGCACTAGGGCTAGGCACGCCAGCAGGGCCCCGCAGCGCCCACCCAGGACCCTCATCGCGAAGGCGGCGCGGGGAGGCGGGGACCTGAGCGCTGTTGCTGGTAGCAGGCAGAGCTGAGAGCCCGGGCACAGCTCTACGAACTCTGTGGGACGGCGAGGGCGGGAGGGGCGCCCGGGCGGAGGGGCCCGCCCGCTCCCAGCCCCCCACCCCGAGGGGAGGTGATAATGGGGACTTTTCCAGGAAGCTGGGGGAGGGGTCAGGGAGAGTGTCCAGGCCTAGTAAATACTGCCCGTCGTCCTTCCGCACCCTTTCCAAAGTCTGCGTTTCTCTAGAATGTGAAGTTTCCAAAGCGGAGGGAAAAACTTGCGGTGAGCTGGAGTTGGGGTTGAGTGAGCAGGAGAACTTTGAGGACTCAAAGGTCAGGATCTCCAGGATTAGGAAGAAAGTTCCTGAGCCATTACTTTGGCGATGAAGATGTTACCCAAAATCTAGAAGCCAGTGAGGACTTTTTGCGAGACTGTAGAGAACGGAAATAATGGAAGAAAATGGGGTCATTTTGATCAAACACATTTTTGTTTGGGTGTTGTATTTACGGTATAAAACAGTAAAAAAAACCAATTTTTTTTAAAGAAAACATCAAATTCCAACACATTCCAACAGCTCTTTTTATTCTTTGCAGTAGTTTTTGTCCTTCGGGATACACATGTGAAATATGTTTATGGCTGCTTTTGAAGCTAAACTGGCTGAGTTCAAATCACTTACACACTCGGTGACTTACTGTATAATTTTAAATTGTGTAAGCTGTCTTATCTTTAAAATAGGGATTGTCGTAGTGTTGGTATAAGGCTTTCAATAGATAACATAAAAGCAACTAATCAATGCACACTTACTATTATTCATTTTCTGCCCAAATAAAGTGGATTTCCTAAGCATCTGAGTGAAATCCAACAGAGAAAATGTGTCTTCCAGCTCTATCTAGGTTTTATGGCTTTGTGATCCAGCTGGATGGGAGTTTATTAATATTAGTCACTTTTGATAAAGAGTATGGACTGGAGAATTCTCATTCACTCAGGGACGGAAAATTCTTCCTACTATATCTTTTTATGTTCTGTGACAAAAGTAAGAATTAAATTGACAGAAGAGTAACAGAAGAAAGCAATGTATAATCACATATGTACGAAGGAGAGTTTCGCAAAAATCTGAGACTGAAGGAAGTGACCAGATGCTTGAGATATACAGTATCCTGAGGTGTGGAAAATCAGAGGAGTTTGAGATTTCTTCCGGTGGGTAAGGGAAGGGAGGGGGAAGAAATGCATGGTCAAGAAGAATTGCCTTGTTATGCAACTAAGAGTCAGTAAATCAAAATTATCTCTGGGAGTAGCCCTCTTCCTGATTATTAATGGAAATTCCCTTTATACATGTAAATTCCTGTTATAGTTTGGATCTAGAATGTCCCCCCAAAGACTTGTGTATTAAAAGCTTGGTCACCTGCCTGTCGTGCTGTTGGTGGTGGAAACTTGAGTGGCAAGACCAAGTGGAAGGTCATTGGGGGGATGCCCTGAAAGGAGATATTAGGACCCCTGACCCTTCCAGTCCCTCTATGCTTCCCAGCTGCCCAGAAGTAAGTAGCTTTCTTTAGCCCTGAACTATCATTATTACCATCATGTGCTGTGCCACCTCCGACCCAAAACAACTGAGACAAGTGACTATGGAACCTCGGAAAGCAAAATAAACTTCTTCCTGCAAGTTGATTTTCTCAGGTATTTTGCACAGGAATGGACAGCTGACAGAATTTTCTTTTCAAAAGAGGAAATTAATTTTCTCCTTTAGGCAGTTGAGTGGAAAGTAGAGCTTTGATTCTGCTGGTTCTTGATTGCTTTTATTTTAAAACAACTGTATACCAAAGTTACATATTTTGGAGTGACACATTCTGAGCCTTGTCAACTCATTGGGCAAAAAAAAATCCTGAATATATCTGTGACCCCTTTTCCTCTTCTAAATTATTTTCTTTCTTATTTTCTATGATTCTACCAGGTCAGTTGATTTACTGATTTTAATCTCAGTCCCAAGTGATTTAAATATAAATGTAACTCTAATCTCTGTAGAATTGTTTGGATTACTTTAAGTACTATATTTAATTGCTAAATATTTAAAAAGTGTATAGGTCATAAGTCTTCAAACAAAAGCTCTATTTAGGAACGTCCTTAATTTCTGAGGATAATTTGAGAGGAAAGTATCAGTTTTTAAATCTCAACAATTCTTAAGAAAGGAAAACTTCCAAAATTATAAACTAGTAACATTCATAAAAAATCATCTCTAATACAGACATTGAAAATATACATTATCAAGAAAAGAAGGGAATGTTAAAAAAGGTACTTTAAAAAGGGAGAAATCTTGCTTTTCAAAAGATTTCTGTTAAATATGGTTATCTTTTTAGTCTCACAAATGTAAATCACTGTGCCAGCAACAGGTATATTATTGCTGAAACACTGTGTCCCATACTGTAACGTCACAATTTGAAAAGCCATCTGAAATGCTTAATACAATTTTCTAGTTTTTAATTTATCACAGGATTTCACTCTGTGATGATAATTTCTGAATTTATCTCATTATTGATCAACATTTGGTCAATCTCATTTAGTCAAAATTTGTTTTGAATACATTTCTAAATATACAACAAAAACCTATCCAAAAATTTAATTCTTAATCTAATCCCATTCTTAATCCTATACTCATTTCCTTATCCCATTTTACACTTTTCTATACCATTGTCTAATAAATTCACAAATTTACTTATTGTGTTTTCTATCTACCTCATCATCCCACCTGTAGGATGAAAGAGTCATGAAGGCAGGAATTTGTTTTTTATGCATTGTTCACAAACATATTTTTAGTGTCTAGAACAGTCACTGGTCCATACACCTTCAATTCACTTTAACAATTTCAGCCTGGGAATATTTATGCCAAAATATCAACAGAGATCATGAAACAGGAATCTTACAAGGATAACAGCAAAGCTATATTTATGATTCAGAATAAATTAGATTATGATAAAAAATAACTAGACAATTACACTGGTTTAGACAAAATTTTTTATTTTATTGTGGAATGGCTAATTCTGCATAAACTTTTTTAGTATTTTTATTAGTATATTTTTTTCCAGAAATAATGATTACATTTATTGTGGGGCAGTTTATACATATACATAACACATCTTAATTCTTTTTTTAATCCCATTCCCCACTAATACCTCCCTGTTTCCTCCAACTCTTGTAAACCTTCTTATTTGAAAAAATCTCCCTACTTCCTATTATCTTTTATTTTGCTCTTTATTTATATTTTAAGTGTCTCATATAAGAGAAACCATGTGATATTTAAGATTGTAGGTCTGATTTATGTCACTTAACATTATGTTCTGAAGGCACATCCATTTTCCTACAAATGACTGAGGTTTATCCTTCTTTATGACAGAGTAGTAATCCATTTTACATAAAGACTACATTTTCTTTACCCATTCATGTGTTGATGAGCATTAGCCTGCTTCTAAGCTATTATAAAGTGTGCTGCTATAAACATAGGTATGTGTATATCACTGTAATTTGATTTCTTTAACTTTTTTGGAAAGATTTTTAAAAGAGGAATAGCTGGGTCAAATGGAATTTCTATTTTTAGTTTTTTAAGGAATCTCCATACTGAGCTCTATAGTGGTCGTACTAATTTATATTCTAACAAGGTAGAAGTATTCCTCTTCCCTTGCAGCCTTGTCAGCATCTGTTTTTATTTGATTTCTTGATTATGGCCAGTCTTTCTGGAGTAAGATGGTATCTCAGCATTGTTTTAATTTTCATTTTTTTCAACAGGCAGGGATGTTGAACATTTTTTTCATTTATTTATTGGCTATTTTTATTTCTTCTGATATGTATCTATTCATTTCAGAGCCCATTTTTTATTGTCTTTTATTTTGAGGGAGTTATTTTTTTTTTGAGTTGTTTACATATTCTAAATGTTAGTCCTTTGTCTGAGGAATAGCTGCCAAAAATATTTTCCCATTCTATAGGTTGTCTCTATATTCTATTGGTGTTTTGGGTTTGTTTGTTGCTGTGCAGAAGCTTTTTAATTTGATATGATCCCATGTGTTGATTCTTGGTATTATTTCTTGTGCCACTGGAGTTCTGTTCAGACAGTCCCTGCCTTTAAGAGTTGTATCTACTTTTTCTTCAGCAGATTGTTTCTGTTTTAACATTTAGATCTTTGATCCATTTTGAGTTTTGTTCAATACACGGTGAGATATATGGCTTTAGTCTTAATCTTCTGCATGTATCCTATTCTCTCAGCATCATTTATAAAAGATAAAACAGCTGACTATGTCTCAGGTTTTTTCTACTTCCTCTGTTCGGTTCTATTGATCCACATATCTATCTTTGTGCCAGTACCATGCTGTTTTTAGTCACTGTAGCTTTGTAATATAACTTCAAATCTGGGATTATGATGCTTTCTGCTTTGCTATTTTTACCCAGAATTGCTTTTGATATTCTGGATCTCTTCAAGTACCATATGAATTTTTTGATTATTTTATCTAGATCTGTGAGGAATGCTATTGATATTTTGAATGAGATTGCCTTAAATCTATATATCAGTCTTGAAAGTATAGTCATTTTGATTGTATTGGTTCTGCTTATCCAGGAACATGGGATATCTATCCTTTTTCTGATGTCCCCTTCAATCTCCTTTGTCAGAGTGATGTAATTTTTGTTGAAGAATTTTTGTTAATTAATTTTTGTTCCATTTCCTTGGTTAAGTTAATTCCTAAATTTTCAATTTTTCTTGATAGTACTGTGAATGGTATTGTTTTCCTAAATTTTCAGGGTGAGTTCATTATTAGTGTATAAGAACACTATGGATTTTTGTGCATTTATTTTATATCTTACTATATTGCCGAATTTGGATATTAGTTCTAATTCTAGTTATTAGTTCTAGTAGTTTTAGTGGAATTTTGGGGGTCTTGTAAGTAGAGAATCATGTCACCTATAAATAATAATGCTTTTTATCTCCCTGGCTATTCTTTCAATTACTACTTCTGTGCCTAAAGTATCTTACTATATGAATATTTGCTCAGCATTTCTGGAACCATACTCAACACCATGTTTCCCAAAAACATACTCAGTTCATAGGTTCCCAGTTGTGATAACTATAAAAGTTGGCTGTTTTTCAGGATCTTAAGTGGTTTTATACACATAAAGGTTGTCCATAATTTCTAGCTCTCTTTTCCTTGTAGGTACATGAAATATTTATTCCCACTCTCTGAAATCAAGTATGCCATGTGACTTGCCTTGTCCAGTGAAATGTAGGTAGCATGTCCCTTTCTGGTGAAAGTATTTAAGAGCTGATGTACAGTTCTCATATAATAAGATACTTTAGGCACAGAAGTAGTAATTGAAATCTGCAAGAGAATGCATTTTTTAATAAGGAAAGCAGAAAGATGTGCCCAGATCTTAGAGAGCACATATAGAGCCCCAAAGGAAGAATGGCCAGGGAGATAAAAAGGGAACTTGAATAGTATAAAATTGTGAAAGGTCAAGGCAAGAAAGAGTTTTAGAAGAGTTAATTCATTAAATGTATAAAAGATGCAAAGAAAAGGAGAACTGAGTAGGTAATTAGTAAGGCAGAAGTTATATCCAAAAAAGCATGTTTTGAGTTGTTTGATAAGGCTGAAGCCAGATCATACATAGTAAATGACTACAATTGTGAACATCAACAGTAGAGGTTATAAATTTGTAAACTACTAGTTTTAGAAAAAGTATGATGAAACAGTTAGTAGAAACATTACTAATGTAGCTCTTAGCCATAGGAGAAATTCAGCCTTATCCTGTCCTCCCCTTCCATCCACCCAACATGAAGACAAGGGTACAAGGATATGACATGCCATAAATGTTTATGAGACAGGTGATACCAATTTCTAAATCTGCTATTATTTATGAGAAATTGCACTCAAGTTGTATTTTCGTTTTGTCATTTTAGTAACTCTGAAAAGTAGTTATTTTCAATCCTAGTTTCACTGATGAGGTTCAGAGGTACAGAAGACAATAAGCTCATCAAGTGAGTTAGTAAAGGACAGAATAATTTAAAACTTAGATTAATATTTGTCCTAAATCACCATTTTCCCTTGAATTGTCTGGGATCCTCAGTGATCTCGTTCTTTTTCAGAATTTAAAAGTATATATGTAAGTAGAAACTGAATGGACACACACGTCCCTACATTTTTTGGGGGGGAATACATTTGTCTTTTTTTTTTCTCAAAGAACATACTAGAAATCCAGATATCACATACTTTTTCAAAGAACAAGGCATTACAAAAATAGCCAATAGGCCAAAATCTACAATTTGCAGAAGTCAAATATCCAGCAATCTACATATCTCAAAGTCTGGGAAAGAGTTATTTTTCAATGGTGAGTGTAAAATATGTCTTTCATTTTGTTCCTTTTAGAGCTTTTAACCTCCTACTGCAAATATCATATAATTACATTTCTCAATTTATGTAACAAATAGCGATAAAAATTATAGATGAAAGCATTACTCTCTTTTGAGCTGTTGAGATTCCTTATTAATAATCCTCTGAGTGTATTTTTTTCCCTGTAGTTCTACATTCTGAGTGCCAGAACCCGAGAGGATTCCCATCCCGGCCTGCACAAACGAAACAAACCCACGCACAAATTCCGAGATCTTAGGATCTTAATTGGAGATAGATCAAACCAGCACCCTCCGCAAGTAACAGATTTTGGATGGGTACACAAGGTTAAGCCTTGACTGGTATCTATCTGGATTTTTGGTTTATCTCTGGACGCTTCCGTTGCCTAGTTACGAAGGCCATTTTCACGGAGCCCCGCCTTCTTCTTCTAGAGCCCGCCTACTTTTCCTTTCCGCCTCTCGGATTGGGTGGAGGGCCAGGCCCTGCTAGCCACGCGAAGCGCCACAATCAGGTTTTCAACCAATGATTGGAGAAGTACAATGTGGGCGGTGCTTGGGGGGAAGGTCTTCTGCGCCTAGGAGAACGTCAACACGTCTTTGCGAGGGTTTTCTCTGGCCAGGACCAACTGGGCTCGGGTCTGTCCTGTGCCTTTGGTCCCGCTGTCCCTGGGGGCGGAGGATAGCTGTTCCGGTCTCAAGGGTGGACGCAGCGGGGCGTGGTGCTCGGACCAGTCTCCTTCCCACCCTCCCAGCTGGTCCTCCGGGACTATCCGCCTTCTAGTCGGCTGGGAGAGGCTGGGGCTCCTGGGATCGGCCTGGGGAAGCTGGGGCCCCATCCCTGCTAGGGCTCTGATGGGAGGCGGCGGGAAGAGCGACCTGGGATGTTCAGTCTGATGGCCAATTGCTGCAGCTGGTTCAAACGTTGGCAGAAGCCTGTCAGGTAGGCTGGAGCCGCCTCTACGGCGCTGTCCTCAGAGGGAGCAAGACCTGCGTCCCGGGGGTCGAGCAGGGCGCTGCCTCCTCTCCCTGCGCCTGGACGACTCACTACCAGGCCTCAAGGGATCTTGTCCTTCCCGGCCTGACTGTCCTGGGAGGGGGGGAGAGATGGGATTTTGTAGTCTTTCTGTCTGGCTTTAAGTTCTGATCACCAGTTTTTACCGACGTTGTAATTTGAATGAGTTTGAGTTTCTTAAAAAGTTGTTTCTGTGTGATCAGAAACTATCTGTAGTGTATTTTTCTTCTGAAAGCTTAGTAGTGGATTTTTTTAAAGATAGAAGCATGGATTATACTTTTCACAATATTCTTATATCCCATTCCCCTCTTCCCTTCCCTCCCCTCTCCCTCTCTGATGTGCCTCTCCCTCTTCTCTCTCTGCCTCTCTTATTTACACGCACAAACACTATTTTGCTTGAGGATTTGGGCTTGAAATTAAGCTCTGGGACTTAATAATTATATGATTCAATCACTCTGGGCCCCACTTTCTGCATGTATTATACGAAGTGGTAATATCTGCATCTCAGAAGTTTTGAGTTCAACGAGAATAAGTGGTGGGTAGTGTTTTTCTAACTATAATCCAGCTTCAGTTTTCAAATGGACTTAAAACCTTTTAATTGAAAAAGTCCACTGGTAAACAATTAATTTTGCAGTGCTAAAGGTATTAATACTAAGTGCCTATTATTTCGTTGTTTGTTCAATATTCTTTTAGTGCATTCTTTTTTTTCTTTTTTTGATACCTGGGATCGAACTCAGGACCTTGAGCATGCCAGACTGGCACTGCACCGCTGAGCTACATCCCTGGTCCAATGTTTAATATTCTTTTAAAAAAAATAGTGACACCAGTCACTGTGTAAGGAAGGAGTCAATGGAAATGTTGCTTTTAAAATCGAGAGGACCAAACTAGAAAAAGTTTGTTATTCTTTGTAAATAATGTTGGCTTTATAGAATTCTTTGGAGTTAGGCTAAAGTATTTTTTAATCGTTAACATTCCAAATATAATACTTGCTGTAAAGATGAACTATTCTTTAAGGAATGAATCTGAAAAGCAGTATTTACACATTATAAGGAAAATACATGTCAATGTTTAGAAAATAAACCACCAAAATGGAACCTTTGAAATTCTTTCCCCTGTATTAACTCTTAAGTGGATTTCAGTATTTTAAATATAAGTAATATGATTGACTCTTAAGAGTGAAAGGTATGTTTTTGGATGTATAGATTTTGATTTATCAGTTTTAATTATATTCTGATCAGATTATAGGGTTTAAAATTATTCATAATATATACCCCTTCATGTTTCTCTGTTTGCTTTTTAAAAATGTATTTGATATTTATGAGAGCAGTAGAACATACATCCTTTTTTAGTAAAAAACACTCAAAACTTATAATTCAAAGGAATTTGCAATTTAATTCATCATTCTTAGTTTTTACATCTCATAGCAACTATAGTTGTATTCACCAAGATTTGTTTAGAATTCAAAAGAAAGGAGAATGTATTGATTTCCAAAAAGACAAGATCATTGAATTTTATCAGCAAAGTAGAATTAAAATTGAACTCTACAACTCAGAATTTATATTCTTCTTTGATAAGCTGCAACTTGATCTTACACTATTTAGTAGGCCACTAAACATGTGAATGGGACTAGTTCAAATTGAAATACTATAAGTGTGTAGTAAGTTTTGAAGATTCATTATGCAAAAGATAATGTGTTTTTTCTTTTCTTTTCATTTTTTCTTTCTTCTTTTTTCCAATACTGGGAATTGAATTCAGGGCCTTGGGCATGCTAAGCAAGTGCTCTGACATAGAACTATATCCCTTACCCCCCTTTAAAAGTTGATTACATCTTGATATAACTTCTGCATAGATTGGGTTAAACAAAATGTAATATTAAAATTAATTTTACTTTTTTACTTTAAAAAAAATGTGGTCACTAGAAAATTTAAAGTTATATATAATTTGCGTCATATCTCTTAGACCTGCTGATCTTAATATAAAGGACAAAGGTAAACATCTCTCAGTGTTAGATAGTATTGACTATAAAATGACTTGAAAATAAGTTTGATTTCTCCTATCTTTTAGGTATCCTTGTCATAACAGTGACTGAGTAAATATTTGCTAAGTATTATACATAATTCAATCACCCTTTTCCAATAATCATCCTTCAGTAAATAATACAGCAAGTTGTTCCATTTATTATGCTGGAATAAATAAGAAGTGAACTAGCTAATTTTTAAAAAATAAAATGTTCTGTACTTTTTAAATAAAAACTACCTCTGAGTATTATTTTTTATGTTTTCTGTTGAATGTTTTAAGTTTTAGGCACATTGGGATTCTTTATTTATATTTTCCGAAGATGTGTTTGCAAATGTGAGAAGGTAATAATTATTAATGTACATGTATTATTAATGTATAGAATGTGTTCTAAGATTACTTTGCTGACTCATCTGTTTTATAACCTTTATATTTACTCACATATCCTCACTTACATGCTTTCTCATTGAGCATATTATTCTAGAGACTGGGCTGAGGAATTAGATTTGTGTGATACAGACAAGGGCAGAGTCAAAGATGAAGTGTTAGGTACCAGCCTAGGTCAAAATGAATTTCCTGCGATGCCGGGCAATTAGGAACCCAGCCAATATTCAAACCATGCTTGCTATTGCTAACAAGCCAGAGCCTGAACCTAGGCTTTTAAGCTTTGTAAATTAGTCTTGAGTAAACTATAATACTGGACCAAAGAGACAAATGTGTTGGTCCAGTAGAAGCACTGCAGTGCAATCTTGTTTGTTGCTTAAAATATTTTTTTGAGGCCACACAGTATATGACCAAAACTAAAAAAATAACTTTGATACAATATTATTACCAAACTTTATTTGGTAATAAAACTTAAGACTTTGTTCTAAGTTCATTAAGTTCATTAGTGGTGTTTGTTTGTTTGTTTGTTTTGAGATAGGGTCTCACTATATAGTTCAGACTGGCCTTAAACTCACCAGGCTGGTCTTGAACTCCTGCCTCAGCCTCCTGAATGCTGTGATTAAAAGCGTGCTCCACCATACCCAGCTCTAAGTTCATTAGTTTTTGACTAATGTCCTTTTTTGTTTTCCTATCCAGGATGTGGCCTAGGATTATTCCACACTACATTTTCCAAGTCTCTTTACTCTTCTCCAATTTGTAACAATTGCCCAGTTTTTACTTACATTTCATAATCTTGAGACTGAATAGTACTAATAAGATTTTTTTTTGGAGTGCCCCTTAATTTGTTCTCTTCTGTTTTGTTGTGATTTGACTAAGTTGTTGCATTGTTGGAAAGACTACAGAGAGGCTATGTGCCCTTCACAGTACATATGTGGCTCACAGTATGTATGTGGAGGAGTGCAGATGCCAATGGCCATGTGTCTTATTATGAGTCATTATAATCCCCACACTTGCTTAAGGTAGTACCTAGCGGGTTTCTCAGTGCAGTGTTTGAGTCAGATATGTTGGCTTCTGAATCCTAGGAGTTTTAAAAACCCTTTTCCCTTCATCTGGTGTTGATAATTTGTCTTGCAGCATTTGGAGAGAGCAAATTCACGTAAATAGTTGATATTTGTCATATAGTAGTCATTCAATAAATAATACTGATTCTGAGTAACAGGTATGGATAAGTAATGTTCTCTCCACAATTCATATTTTATATTTATCAGTAATAAAGTTTCTCCATCTTTCCTTCCTATTTTGGTAAAAGGAGTCATTTTCTTTTCCAATATTTTTTTTTTTTGTAGTCCCGGGGATTGAACCCAGGGACTTTGAACTGAGCTATAGCCTCAGACTTTTTTTTTTTTGAGACTATGTCTCACTAAGTCACTAAGTTGCCCAGGCTAGACCCAAACTTGTGATTCTCCTGCTTCAGCCACCAAGAGTGCTGAGATCACAGTCATTCACCTAAGCTTGTGCTCTGTGTTTCATTTCCTTGCTTCAACTATTATCATTCATTGAAACCTAAAGTATAAAAATCAATATACAACTGAAGCTGGAGAATTTCTGATATATAAATTAAACTTTTATCTGAAAATGTGTTGTTCACTGTTACCACCAAAACTCTTTAGTCTTCAGAGCTTGTCTTGTATTCTTTCTTTAGTTTCCCATTGCTACTATAACACATTACTGTAATCTGAGTGACTTAAAACAATACAAATTTATTATCGTACAGTTCTGAGGTAAAAAAACTAAAATGAGTCTATAGGGTTGTGTATCTTCTGGAAGTTCTAAGGGGATGATCTATTTTTCTTTGCCTTTTCTAGCTTCTACAGGCTACCTGCCTTCTTATCTGTGGGCTGTGTATTGGTCAGCTTTCCATTGCTGGGATGAGTACGCAACACTCACAACCTAAAGGAGGAGAGGATTATTTTAGCTTGTAATTTCAGAGGTCTCAGCCCATATTCAGTTGGCTCCAAGGCATGAACATCACAGTAATAAGGGATCACTACTCATCTCTGGGCATCTGGGAATCAGAACAGGTGAAGAGCTGGAGAGGAAGGGGCCAGGGACCAGATATAGGCCCCAAGGTCATGTCCTCCTGGCATATTTCCTCCAACTGTGCCCTTTTTTCTAATAGCTCATTCAGCTATGAGTGGGAGCATAAATGGGTATTTAGTCTGTTTTCCTGTTAATCAAATTAGAAACATTTCAGCAACACACACGTGTTTTCTCTCTCCACAAGTCTCTTACTCCAGTCAAATTGACAATCAAGATTAACCAACACAGCCCTTTTTCTCTTCTTTAAATCTAATAGCATAATACATTTTCTCTCTGACCTCCTACCTCCTTGTTGTAAGAAACCTTGTTATTATATTGGACCCAATTAGATAATATGAAATAAGCCCCCAGTTCCCTCCAGCATGTAAGGAAACATGCACATGTACTAGAGATTAGCATGTGGACATCTTTGGGAGGCCATTATTTCA